TCGAATAATTTGAAAATATTTGTTTTAAAGGCAATTTAATTTAGTAAGAATAATGCTTCTAATACTAAATTCTTAATGGAGTGGCAGAGTCCCAAATTACCCCCTTGTTTGGTTAGCGGCACTTCCTTCCTTTTGCAGAACTGACCTGCTCATTATTCTATTTTTAGTGAGACTGCCAATCAAAGTTCCACATTCACGTTTTCAAAGAAAAATAACTGGATATCCTATCTCCTTTAGAATCAAAATGGGCCTGGCACAGTGGTGCACGCCTACAATCACAGCAACTCAGGAGACTGAGGCAGGAGTATCCCAAGTTCAAAGCTAGACTCAGCAATTTAACAAGGCTCTAAGCAACTTGGCAGGACCCTGTCTCAAAATAAAAAGGGCTAGGGATGTAGCTCAGTGTAAAGTACCCACAGGTTCAATCTCTGGTATCAAAATAAAAAGGTATTAAAATGGAAAAACAGAATTTCCCTACCACTTCCCCAAGAGGGTACAACTATTGGTCTTTGTCCTCCTCTGAGGCTAGCAATATAGGTGAAGAAGTCCTCCTAATTATTATTTTCTCTTTCCATCCTAATATTGTTATAAAGTCACATAAGCCTTCTATAAGGATATTACTCTTAATCACTTCTAGTCATTAACCTAAAATCTAAAAGGCATGTTGATTGTTTATTAATTTTTTATACTGATCTTTAAAAGGATCCTTCTCTTTTAGAGACACAGAAGGGAATATTACTGATAAGCAATGTAAAATGTGAAATGCTTTAAACCAGGAGAAGGGAAAGTGAATGGGGATGAGAATGAAATTTTTTCCCTCCAGTTTTGTTTCACACCTTATTTTTCCAGTTTCTTGTTAGACCTCAAAATCACAGCGTTTCTATTATTTGTAATGGACTGAGGATAAAAGTGCTGTAACAATAAGGCAATTAGGCTCAAAGGAAAGCTGAATTCTAACTGTAAATGTATTTTTGCAACATAACATTTTAAAATCTGCTTAAATCCAGAGAGATTTTTATTATACAATTTGATTTTTACATCAATAAAATCTTAGATATAACAATATAGGTGAAGAAACAATTTAATTTGTACTGAAATAAATATTGGACATACAAAGCACACAGAGTGAAAAAGGGTCACAATATATTACAAGTGGAGACATTACTTTGCTCAATCACCAAAGAAAGCCCTTGATACTTCCAATTTCACACCATCAAATTTATCATTCTTGCTGATTTAAGCAGAACACAAAACAAATATGGATCCCAGGGCTTACTTTCACAGGTACCAGCATGGATAATTTACTACAGTGATCCAATTTGGAAATCAGTAGGGACCAGTAAATCGATGCATAAAAGAAAGAGTGAATGAGGTCCTTTTTCCTTAGTGTCAGCAGGCTATGATTATTATGTTTATTAGATTTTCTTGAAAGAACTTCACATTTTCTCAAATATGCAGGAGACCTATATTTCCCCTCTGAGCCCTACATTAGCATTATGTGTTTTGGTCCTGAATACAGAGGAATGATGAATTTTTCAATTTATTTTATAAATTTCTACAGTGTGGATAGTATTGGCCTGAAGAGCTTAACTCCCCAACCAGTACAATATTAGATATTAAAAATAGATTCAAGAAGTTACTAAGAAATGCTGACATACTATATATACAAAATTTTAATTCAATATATCCCATTATATAGAGCACCAAAAGTAATGCATTTATAAATCAAGCAGTTTTTTATGACTCTGTTTCTAACTTTCGTGACCTTTTCACATTTGTTCCAATATAAACACATCATAAATGTTACCTGTCCAAGACTTTGCTCATTTGGTCTCCAACTTATAAACACATATAGGTAAAAATTAATGTCAAAAGGAATTGTTCTATCTTAAAGTTACAACAGAAAAATAGTAACAATTTAGAATTAAGCTATCATAAACAAAAAAAAAAGAAAAAAAAAGGTTAGTTCCAAAGTGATGAACATATCAAAAAGTGGCTGTAAATGGCTATAAAATAAGTAAAATGATTCATGGGCCCTTCTTTTTCCTAAGATATGAGATAATTCCAGCAAAAACATCAATCCGTAACTTTTCTTATTGTTTTCAAAGAAAAACAATCAGCTTTATATTAAAAAATACTGTACTTTTCTTTCTCTTGTCATATCAACTCAAACTCAGTGCAGATCAATTTCTTATATGAACTTCACAAGAGGGAAAAGAAATACCTCACATGGGAACATGTTCCTCCTATTATAAAAATTTCGTAGATTAATTTCTATCAAAAAGCCTCCCAAACTAAGCAGCTCCTTTTTTTATCTTTAATACCAGATCTAATAACTTCCCACTAGAATATAAAAGAGGAGTGCTCACTAAAACAATCTCTAGTAATAACTCCTGGATTTTTAAAGGAATGCCTTTGGTATGCTATCTGTTGAACTATACTATCATATAGTCTCACTAGAATTCTCTAGGATTAGAATTTCAGTGAAGTGCTACAAAAAACTAGTAGTGTCTCTACAACTCACACTTAATTTTCAAATATAGGTACCACTCCTGATATAACATCCCAGAAGTTCAATATGTTTTATTACAATGAAAAGTCTAAATTTTAAGAGGTTTAATTAGCTGTATCTAAGTGTACCTACAAAATGGCGATGAAAATTTTTAAGTTGCATATTTCTACGCATCTGAAAATGAAGAACAATTATTTAACTGATTTAGGCACTTTGAATGGAAAAGAAAAAAAAGAGACGAGGATTTGTATGCGACTTCCAATTGTGGCCTATTTTCCTAAAAAGCACATGTTTGACAGGGTACTTCTGACATTTAGGGATATTTAAAATGTTCACATAGGCTCAATGATAGAACATGAGGCTCTGGGATTAAGAACCAGCACTTAAAGTACTCATGGTAAATGCTCACTAAGTATTTATTCAATATTGAATTAATACACATTAAAAAGGGTCATGGAATTCAGATCCTTAGTTTTATGGCTGACTCAGCACTGTTCCAGTGGCATTTAACCTTCCAATATAACGTGAAAATGGGAGGCAACTTTAGGAAAGAGTGACACCTACTGTTATAAACATAACTGTCTGTGGCTACTTTCTCCCTTGAGGTTTTCATTCTATCAAAACTAAGTGACAGCTCTGAGGCTTTAGAACAGCTATATTAATAGCTGTTGAGGATGTTTATCACAATCCCTTAAAATTAATTTACTCACTGTCACCTGAATGCTTTAAAAATGGAATCTTTCAGTTCCATTTGTCTCATTACATATTCATTTTCCTTTCCAGAATAAATAATATCCATGCCTTAAATTTACAAACCCTAATCTGAATTTTTGATCCTGATTCTTACAACGTAAAGTACTAATAGTTTTTCAATTCCTACTTAGATGACAGAATGTATTAATCTTTCATAACTTCTGGTTTATTATGAGCTTGGCCTGATGTTCTCTGTAAGGGACATTCTTAAATACGAAAACTTAATAATAATAATAATAATAATGATGATGATGATGATGATGATAATGTTAGCTTCTTCCTTGCTTCCTCCCAGAAGCACTAATCTTGGTGAATTTTATTCCAAGAAAATTTAAATATAAACTATACCTGAGACTTTTTAAATTAATGAGAAACCAAGTATACAAAACAAATGTAATATAGAATGCTTGCTAGAATAATGTATTTTGTATGAGGTGTCCACCTGTCCAAGAGGTTCTAATAAATAATGGCACTATACAATTTCCTAAACAATGAGATATTCTGGATGTTAAATCAACTTCTTTTACACCTGTAAGAAAAAATTAGTTCAGTTACGCAGTAAGATTTAATTTTCCTACTGCATTCATTCTATATACTGTTTTTAGATTTTCTTAATTTTAGAGGTCTACACGTAACACTATAATTTCAGATACCAAATAAGCTATACTTGTACACATTCATTATGCAGAATTTCTAGCAAATCAAATATCTGGTAATGCTCAAACTGTAAAATTAAGTTTCTCATAAATTTGACTATTATTTATATATTAAGTCTTCCTTTAAGAAATAAATCTATTCTTTCCATTCAAACATGAGCATATCAGAAATATTATAATCCTACTATGTGATTTAAAAGCCTTGATTTAAAGCACAAGTATCTGAAATTACAGAAGTTTTAAGTTTAAAAATTTTTTAAAACCACTGTGGATTACTTCCTTTAGGGACATCTTTTTGACCACTGTTAATTTTTAAAATAAAGAAGAAAAATTCAAAATTAATACTTATAGACATTTAAAAGTAAAAGGCAATCAAGGTAAAAATAGAATGCAAGCACACAACAAATGGAAAAACTGGTGCCATCCAAATAAGTTTTAAACTTTAGTTAACAATGGTCCAGGATTAATTTCTAACTCTGGATAAATATTCTACTAGTTACATAAGATGCTGACATAAGAGGAAGCTAAGTAATAGGTATAAATGAACTCTCACAGCACTACTTCTCAAATTCTTCTAACAATTAAAAAAAAAAACAAGGAAAATTTTTTTCAAATAAATTATGCTTTCAGCTGCCAAAATTTCTTGATATAACAAGATAATATTTTAAAACACATTAGAAATCAGTGTGTTTACTTAACATTATAGTCACTTTATTGCTCTAGAAAGTTAGTTTTCAAAACCATCAGATTACACATACAGTGATGAGGCTAGTTGCACACACACAAAATCAACTGTATATTATGAGGTTGCTTCTCCAACATAGTGGATAAATATTACAAAATTACAAAAATAGCTGGTTACAGTTAAGCTATCAAAGTAGAATTTTTCTGGCAATCTAGCCTAAGAATTTCATCTTTCTATAGATTAGAAAGTTGAACAAAAGGAAAACTGATATTACTGATAAATCACTAATGAATGTATTTGAGAAATCCATATTACATGCAGACAGAAGAAAACAGGATACAAAAACATTTATATTATTCTATACTAAAATTGTGCTACGTTTTTGAACATTCCCAATCATGCAACAATAATAAGGATCAGAATGAATTTTATAAAGTAGTTGATGGGAGTTCAATGAACAGGACTTAACACATTATACAACTCAAATCACAGTTGCATAACACAGCCAATTTCTTCATATATATCTATGCATTACAAGACTGAAATGCATACTATTCCCGATTCCTCTCCCAGGCCCATTACATATTACCTTACCTAAAAAACTTTCCACTTAACCTTTCAAATCAGATTTGATGGATAAATATGTAATCTACAGGATATTCTTCATTATTATTTCAGACATGAGTATAGCCATATGCTCAATCTTCAGTTACATTCCTTTCAAAAGGCATCTGACTGCTGCAATTTTCTAGGAAAATTCAAGCCTAAGAAACCAAGAAAACTGAAGTCAAGAACCTGAACTAGGTAATTTTACAAACTATAATACTAATAAACCTATCTGTCCACATTTGTAAAAGGATTTCCTATTTAAGAAATATTTCTCAATGGGTCTTTGAAAGCAAAGTTGTGTCACTACTACTTTCTGATATAAAGTGGTTATGTGACCCCAAATATTTATCCAATTGACTAACAGGCTTACAGTTGAGTTAAAAAAAAAAAAAAAATCAAAGCCACAGAATTCTTATGGAAATAAAAATTCAGAAGCTCCTAGCATAAGACATAAACTGCCTTTTATAATGATACATCCAAAATAAATCTGTCCTAGCAAAGTAGCACAAAATCAATAACAATTTGAAATAGAATTACAGTGCTTCTGTTAAAATCATCAACCAAAATTACTGAATGGCAAAAGAATACTGTCTTAAAATATACTAAATTCACATGTTATTACCATAATGAATTCATGCCAGATTAGGTTACAAATTAGGTAGAAACAAATTTCAGAACTATTTTTTCAAAAAATAAATGTACTTCATGATACAGGCACAGCAGCATCTAAAAAAATTGATACATTTATCACTAGATACAAACTTCCTTAACCATTAGCAACAGAGCACAGTAAAATTTTTCTCATCAACTTTTGAAAAGGCTTGATTTAACATGCCGGGAAAATGACTATTTTTCCATTGAGATGCATTTACTATGTAAATTATGTAAGTTGAATTGAGGTCAGTGTTAACACCTGGAATTTAGGATACCCTAGAAGTAGTACCAGCTGCTAATAATGCTTATATTATATACATAGCTTAACTAGAAGTTAAACTACGCAACTGTTGGTGCCAGTCTGCTTATAAAGGCAATGCTTTGGAGACAAAGTCTTCTCACGAACAGTGGACAAGCAGGCTTCATTATTATGTGTTCAACAACAATTCTCAGTTCGTTAAACAAGTTCCTGCAAGATAAAATAGTTTTTTTCAAAAACACAAGAAAAAAGCAATATAGTGTTACAAAATGCTGATGAAGATGTTACCCAGTCAACAAAGAATTTGAGGAATGATTAACATAGAATGAATCATAGGGAACACACAAATATATACATCGCCAGGGTGGCATGTAACTGTTGTCCCAGCACTCAAGGAGGACTGCTTGAACCAAGGAATTCAAGACCAGTGGTGGTAACACAGTGAGACCCATCTCAAAAAAACAAACACATCCACAAAAAAACAAAAACAAAAACAACATATATATCCACAATGAAATTCTCAAAATCTGCATTCATATCTTTTTTTCAGCAAAAAAGTTCAAATAACAAACGCATTCTAAAAAATAGCTATTTTGGGCTGGGGATATAGCTCAGTTGGTAGAGTGCTTCCCTTGCACGCACAAGGCGCCACCAAAATAAAAACTATCTCTGAGGACTGAGATTAGGAAAGACTTTCATTCTTTTCTTTGGTAGAGTCAGGTAATATTCACATTTAACTTCGGCAAATTCAACTTGTTCTTAAAAAGAGCAAAAAAAAAAAAATTATGGGTAATTCACACACTACTAAAGAACATATTCTCTCAGAGTTTTCCTCTTCTGTAAATTAAAAGCATGTATTTAACAGAGTTGTAGTGAAGTTTAAATAAGGCAACAAAGATGGTCAATAGAATTTACTTCCCAGAGCTTCTTTCTATTGATAGAACTGGCTCTTTATATTCAGACTAAAGCCCATAAATACACTATATGATCTTATCTCAATCTAACTATCGGCTCATCTCTCGCCACAACTTCTAATTGAGTTATGTTGCATAGATATGCCTTAAACACAGTGTGGACTTTGCCTTTGCCCCAACTGTGCTCACTGCCTACAAAGTACCCTTTATTACACATGGTACATGTTACATGTATACTATTTGGCAGGTATATACAAAATCACATATATTGTATTGTAAAATTTGTAAGTGATTTGAAAGAGCAAGAGTATTTTACTATTTGTGAGTTTGACCTTATATGTTGACTCATCCTGCATGAAGATGCGACTCTTGTTTTACTTTTCTATATCCGTTTTGTGACATCTATGGTTTGAACTTTTTAAAAGTATTTAATATGCTCTCACACAAAGACAGGAATACAATTTGAAAAGATGCACATTCAACCAAAGGCCAGTATTTTCGTTGTTACAGAACCATTATTCACAGTCTCTTTAGCTACCAGACCCAAAACCTGGAGATGGAGGCATTCTATCTCATTCTTTTTCCCACACTCTAAGATGCTACATCCTGAGTATCTTTCTGACATTTTAGCTTTTCCACTAGTGCAGGCTCTGTACTATTCTAATGGGTTTGCACGGGTCATCTTCTCTTCTTGGTAAGTTTATAATACATCTTTTGAAATAACTCTAAATCGGGGGCTGGGACTATGGCTCAGTGGCGGGGTGCTTGCCTAGCACATGTGAGGCACTTGGTTCAATCATTAGCACCACAAAAAATAAGTAAAAGAAAGGCATGCTGTCCATCTAATTAAACTACAAATACATATACATATATGTAAATATATATGTGTAAAAATCAGATCAAACAGATGTTCCCAATCCTTCCATGTACAAACCTCAAAGGCTCCCCGACCTCGAAATAAAATCCACACCCTTTCATGATCTAGTCCTTTCTACCATATATCGTTCTGGGCAAAGACCTTTACCACTTCCCTATGTATCTTCTGAGCTCAGACATCAAATGTTGGTATGGCAAGCACTTTCAGGCACCCTTGTTCCAGGACTCAGGTTCATTCTTTAAAAGACTTGGTTTATAATCCCACTTCCTCAGTGAATTCTCACTTATCTCCTATTCTCTATGCTTTCACAGCACCTTATCATCATACTAACTTAGGAGTCTAATTAACTTGTAAATCCCACAAGGCAGATATTTAATTCTACATGCACCTGTTATAATCATACATTATCAATGTTTTCTGAATAATTCAGTCAAATGAATAAAGCTAGAAAGTACCCTAAAAAATACTGTGGTCATAAAAAAGAAAGAAAAGAGTCATGGTGTTCAGCAGAATCTTCAGTGATGATGAAAATACCAGGTATCTGGGCTGTCCAATACAGTGGCCACCAGTGACATGTGGTTTTTAAGTACCTAAATGAGAGTTTATTGTGACTCAGGAGCTGAGTTTAAAATGTATAAATAATAAATATTATGACAGGTAAAAATGGTATTAACTGAACTGATGTGATACAGCAATCTGTATATGGGGTAAAATTGGGAGTTCATAACCCACTTGAATCAAACTGTGAAATATGATGTATTAAGAACTATGTAATGTTTTGAACGACCAACAATAAAAAAAAAAAGAAAAAAAAATGGTATTAACTGTCAGTACAGACAGCCTCAAAACCTTTAACAAAAAATAGTGTAGTTCAGAAAATGTAGCTTTATTCCATTTTTATTGATATTTTCCATTACCTTTCCACTGTTATGATTAAAATGTATACTTATAAGCAATCTTTGAAGACATTTATTAGCACATATTTGTGGTAGCTTGACCCACTGTGATCTTTTCATTTTTATTTACAAAACATTCTAAATTTCTAGATGTACTAAAGTGACTTAAGGGTATATGAAAAAAACAGGGTATAATTTGCTAATGAAAAATGAAGGTCAGGTCAGGGAACTAGAAGATAATACCTGAAATGAATGCATGGACCAGAAAGAAAAGGAAAAGACTCATGGAATCAATAAAAATGAAGACTTATTTTATTAAGGAACTCATTAGGATTGTATGTCTAAAACAAACAAGCTCTACTTCAGAAAATATCATAAAAAGACATTGTCTAAAAAAAGCATAAAAAGCCCCCAGAAAGGAAAATCAGCTCATAGAATAAGGGAGCTATTTATTTAGAACCTCAAAAATAATGAGAGTCTAAGCACTTACTTTTTAAAGAAAAAGTCTCAATAGTTTACCCATGCTGGCCTGAATTCTTGGAATCATGGAATCCTATTACCTCACCAGCCTACATAATAGCAGAGACTAGAGGCAGATGTCTGAATAGTCTAAGTACTTTCAAAATATGATTCATTTCACCCTCAGGAGGAGGTTTCCCCCTCTACCAAATGAAGAAATTTAAATTTAAAAAACTTGCCTACAGTCACACACCTGGTAAATGATGGGTCAGCATTCAAATTCAGCTCTTTTAAGTGTACTTGTGATGGTATTATAGAGTTAATCATAACACACTGATTGAATTTCCTGCTGAATTCTACTACATTATTTTAAACATGAAAATAAAAGGTGTGTTAACATTACCGAATTACATTTTAAAATCTTCTAAATGCAGTTATTCATTTTATTTCTACTTCACTTTGAGAACAGAATATATAATTCAGTGTATACTAAACTTCCATTCCTGAAAACTACTAATTTCCTAAAATACTTCTCTGCTTCCCCATTATTCTCATCCAACCCATTCTGTACAAGAATATCAGAATATTCTGAGCATGTTAAAATCATCATTCCCACACATCTAACAGATTTTAAATTTTTTATATTGAAACTCAAGAAGTTTTTGACATGACTCCAATATACCGTCTTATTCTGCTTCAGCAATTTATCATTCTGAATTTGCACTGGAATCAAACTCCTTTACTCAATGCCCCTTCAAACATGGCCTGCACTTTTTTTCCTCTGAACTATGTTCCTAATACCTACCTGCCTACCTAAAATGCTTTAATGTTTTAATCCTTCCAGATCAAATTTAAATCTCTAATTTGGGAAATTTTCCTAGGCTTGTCTATCTTCTGGCCCAATGACCACTCCCACTTCTGTGGACTATAGATAATACGGATAGAAAAAAGCAACCATATGGCAATTCATTATATGTGATCCCTGCCTTACCCAAGGGAGACATGTTCCAGGAGCCTCCATTGGGGCTGTTTTTTTTTTCCCCCATACACATACACCTATGATAAACCTTTATTTATAAATTAGACATTATATATCATGGATATGCTGGACAAAGGGATGTTCACATCCCAGGTGGGAAGGAGCAGGACAGCACAAGATTTCATTATTCTATTCAGACCTATGCACAATTTAAAACTTTTGAATTATTTATTTATGGAATTCTCCACTTTTGGATGACATGTAACTGAAATAAGAAAAAGTAAAACTGTGGATGAAGGGGACTACTGTATATTGATTTGTGAATATTTTATCCTCAACTATTGCTTATTATTATTCAGGACATGTTTTTGTTTCAACTAGGAAAGCTCCTAGAGAATGGGATTTTTTGTCTTACACATCTTTAAATTACCTAACCATAGTAGTGTTTTAAAGGTGGTCAAGATAACCCCAGTTGAATTTCTAAAAAGAAATACAGACGTTTCCAGACTAAGAAATTCCAGTTTTTCAATTTTATGATGGTGGAATAGTGACACATTCAACAGAAACCATATTTTCCACAACTAGAAATATGCTGAATACTCTTAATTGTGAGAGTGTGCAACAGAGGAAAGCTGTAAGCCCAGTTAGCCATTTAATCATGACAGTGAACAACTGCCATAGTGTACTTACTGACTCCTAAGCTGTGATGTTTGGTAGGGCAGGTGTATTAAATGCATTCTTGACTTCACAATATTTTCAACTTACTATGAGTTTATAACGATATAATGTTATCATAAGTCAAATAGCATCTGTACAACTACCTCAATAACCCTAGCTACCACCAGCAGCATGGTGATGCATGCCTGTAATCCCAGCAGCTTGGGATGCTGAGATAGGAGGATCATAAGTTCAAAGCCGCCTCAGCAAAAGCTAGGCACTAAGCAACTCAGTGAAATGCTGTCTCTAAATAAAAAAACAAACAGAGCTGCAAAAATGTCTCTTCCAAGTTCTAAACTGTTAGTCAAATTACTTTTACAAGTTAAAAATACTATATTTCGACAATTCTCTAAAAAACAGAAAATACTTAAACTTATCATCAGCTTACCGACAATATGGATTTCTTCTGGAGGAATATCGAAGAGTCAGAAATCTATAGTAAATAAAAGGCTGGAGCAAACTTCCTTGGCCACTGAAATAAACAAATACAGAGTATTTGTTTATTATACATATACTTTTAAAAGGCAATAGTCAATTCAAATGGAGAATGTATGTCTTCATTTAAATGAAATATATCTAAACCCAAGTTATTTTTAAAAAGGAAATAAAAGAATATAGATGATGGTAAAGAGTAAAATGTCATTGCTTAAACTTTTATAAACATAATCTATAAATATTACCTATTTTGTTTTGGTGGTAATAGGGATTGAACCCAGAGGTGCTCTATTACCGAACTACAGCCCCAGTGCTTTTCATTTTCAGACAGGGTCTTGCTAAGTTGCTCAGGCTAACTTCAAACTTACGATCCTCCTGTCTCAGCTTCCCCAAAATGCTAGGCTTAAAGGCGTACACCATCACACCTGGCCAAGTATTACTTTTGAATTTTTTATTTATTTTTCAATGCTGGGGATTGAACCCAGGGCCACTCTACCACTGAGCAATACCCCCAGCCCTTTTTACTTTATTTTGAGATATGGTCTTACTAAATTGCGGAGGCTGGCCTCAAATCCTACTGTTTTAGCCTCCTAAGTAGCTGGGATTTCAAGTGTGGGACACTGTGCTCAGCTGAAATTATAACATACTAAATAAATCAGTAAGTTACATAAAAGCACTTCCATAATTACCATTGATGAAATTAAATTTTAAGACTTAACACATATTCAAATAAAAAGTACTTTATTTTATATAAACAAACAAAAACTAAAACTATAATGGCAGTGCTGGAGTTGTGGCTCAGTGGTAGAGCGCTTACCTGATAAGTGTGAGGCAATGGGTTTAATCCTCAGCACATAAATAAATAAATAAATAAAGGTACTGTGTCCATCTACAACTAAAAACAAAATATTAAAAAAAATTATACTGGCTCACTAGCAAATTTATACAGCCTATACAAGTATTCTTGGTTAAAAAGCATAATTAAATACCTCAAGAAAGATGTATATATATATGTATATATAAATATATGTATATCTATCTATCTATAGATACGTTTTTGAAACTCCAAGTCTGGAATTCTTCCTAGAAAACTCCATCTGGATTAAAACTTTCATGGAAATAACTAATAAAACATAGCAATGGGGCTGTTCACTGATACAGTACTTGCCTAGCATGTGCAAGATCCTGGGTTCAATGCCTAGTACTGCAAAAATAAATAAAGAAAAAATAAGTTGGGTGTGGTGGGACATGCCTATTATTCCAGCTACTCCTGAAACAGGAGGATCACAAGTTAGGTCATCCTAGACAAGACTCTGTCTCAAAATAAAATTAAAAAGGGCCAGAGATGTAGCTCAGAGTTAAAAGTACTTCCCTAAGCATGTAAGAGACCCTGGGTTCAATCCCTACTATCACCAAAAAGAAAGAAAAAACAACACAAACCTACAGTGGACAGAAAAGTAGTAGGGTGACATAAATTTATATAACACCATTATGTTTATGTAATAGATTTAGTATGCAACTACTTATAATCTTTGTTATAAAAACTATATAACAACTTTGAAAACAGCAGAACATAAATCTATACATACTATTACAACTGTATCTTGAAACTTTTTTTTTTGAGAAAGAGAGAGAGAGAGAGAGAGAGGGAGAGAATTTTTGATATTTATTTTTTAGTTTTTGGCAGACACAATATCTTTGTTTGTATGTGGTGCTGAGGATCGAACCTGGGCCGCACACATGCCAGGCGAGTGCGCTACCTCTTGAGCCACATCCCCAGCCCTGTATCTTGAAACTTAATTTGGAGGAAATACATTAAGATGCTAAAGGTAGTTTCTTATGCTAATTTTTTAGTCTTTCAAGTTGCATATTATTTTCAGGGGGAGGGGATGTTGAATCAAACTCAGGGGCACTTGACCACTGAGATACATCTCCAGTCCTATTCTGTATTTTATTTACAGACAGGGTCTCACTGAGTTGCTTAGCACCTTGCTGTTGCTGAGGCTGGCTTTGAACTCGTGATCCTCCTGCCTCAGCCTCCCAAGCTGCTGGGATTACAGGCATGTGCCACTGCACCCAATGCATGATATTACTTTTATAGCAAAAGTCCAAACTTACAAACATCACTAAATTAAATGTTACATCCATTTTCTCCAACAATTTGACAAATTAACTTTCTAAATTGAAAAAGTAGGACTAGGGTTGTAGATCAGTGGTAGAGCACTTGCCTAGCATGTGTGAGGCACCGGGTTCAATTCACAGCACCGAATATAAATAAATTTTAGTTGTCAGTGAATCTTTATTCACTGACAACTAAAATTAAAAAATTAAAAATCAAAAAAACAAACAGGGGGGCTGGGGTCGTGGCTCAGTGGCAGTATGCTTGCCTAGCATGTGTGAGGCACCGGGTTCAATTCACAGCACCGAATATAAATAAATTTTAGTTGTCAGTGAATCTTTATTCACTGACAACTAAAATTAAAAAATTAAAAATCAAAAAAACAAACAGGGGGGCTGGGGTCGTGGCTCAGTGGCAGTATGCTTGCCTAGCATGTGTGAGGCAATGGGTTCGAGTCTGAGCACAACATACAAATAAATAAAGGTCCATCAACAACTAAAAAATATTAAAACAAACAAACAGGGGCTGGGGTTGTGGCTCAATGGCAGAACGCTTGCCTCATATGGGTGAGGCACTAGGTTTGATCCTCAGCACCACATAAAATAAATGAAATAAAGATATTCTGTCCATCTATAACCAAAAAATATTTTTAAAAAATAAATACATAAATTGAAGAAGTAATGCAAAGAATACAGAAAATGTACATAGAAAATACTCACTGAAAAACAAGTTTCCCCTCATCCAAATTAGCCCTTTCTCAAAGTTTTAGCACAATCTCAAATACACTTCTATTTATGTACACAAGTATACAAAATAGCTAATAGTAACAGCGTACACATGCTAACAGCCTATACTACTGTTAACTAACTTATTATACCTTGGAAAGCATCCCATATGACAATACAGAAATTACCTTGTTCTTTTTATAGGTTCAAATACTCCTTCTTATACTTACTTGTACCATTATGTAACAAGCTCCCTAGTAATGAATATTTAGGATAGCTCCAGTTCACAATTAGGAATAAAATTATAATGATCATCCATTTACCCATCTTTGCATGCATGTACATGTATGTGTAAGACAACTCAAATTATAAGTTCATTTTTAAATATAGTTTTCTAATATTAGACTGTGTGTCTACCATGAAAGGTAGCACACAAAGAATAGTCACTATTTATGATTGCTTTAAATGTTAGCTTGGGTACATTCAAGTTACATATTTAAAAGCATAAGTAGCTTTTCCTTTTAGAAATGGAGGCCTGGGCATGTAACTCAGTGGTACAGCCCTTGTCTAGTATATGCAATACCTTGGATTCGATCCCCAGGCACTGCAAAACAAACAAAAGAAATGGAATATAACTTCATAAACAAATTTTAATTCTTTAAAATAAAGTAATAAAAAAACACAAAACACTGAAAAAAGAACAAAACCCAGAAAGACCTTCCTTGTTCATGAACTAAAAGACTATTGTTGCTGGGTGTGGCAGTGCAGGCCTGTAATCCCAGCAACTCAGGAGACCAAGGCAGAAGGATTGCAAGTTTGAGGCCAGCCTGGGTAATTTAGTAAGACTGACTCAAAAAAGAAAATAAAGAGGCCAGTGGTGGAACACCCCTGGGTTCAATCCTCAGGTATGGCTAAAGAATATTTATATTGTTAAAATGTCCATACCCAAAATGATATACAGATTCAATGCAATCACTATCAAAACACCAACTTCACAAAAATAAGAAAAAAAAAAAAACCCTAAAATTCATATGGAACAAGACTAGAAAAAAAAATATGAGCAAAAAGAACAAAACTGGAAACATCACACTACCTGTTCTTACATATAAAGGAACACAGTAACCAAGACAACGTGATACTTACATAAAAACCAACACAGACCAAGAGAACAGAAGAGATCCTACAAATAAATATAGCCAACTAATTTTCAACAAAGTGTCAAAAACATGCACAGGAAAACAAAAACAGACACTGGAAAAAGGATAGCCTCTATGATGGTGCTGAAAAAAACTGGATATCTACAGGCAAAATGCAATTATATTCCTCTCTCTCTCACCATATAGTAAAGTCAACTCGAAATGGTCAAAGACCTAAATGAAAGACTTGAAACTATCAAAGTACTAGAATAAATCATAAGAGGAACACTTCAAAACACTGGAATAAGCAAATTACTTTTCTACATAAGACCCTAAACGCAATCAATAAAAGCAAAAATGGACAAATGGGATATATAAAACTAAGAAGTTTTTGCACAGCAAAGAAAACATCAACAATGAAAAGGCAACCTGGGAGAAAATAATTGCAAACTATTCAACTGACAAGAGATTAATATACATAATACATATAAGGAGTTCAAAAAACTTAAACAAATGGACATATAATCTGAATAGGTGTTTTTCAAAAGAAAATATACAAATGAGCAAGAAAAAGTGCTCAACATTACTAGCCATCCGGGAAATGCAAATCAAAAACCTGAATGAGATATCATCTTACTCATCAGAATGGCTACAATGAAAAAAATAAAAAGCAACTCTTAAATTCAGCGGGTGAGAATGTAAATTAGTACAGCTATTACGGAGAAAAGTATGGAATTTCCTCACAACACTAAATAAAATTAAAAAAAAAACAGAACTACCCTATGATACAGCTATATTCCACTTTTGAATATATAGCTAAAGTAAATGAAATCAACATATCAAAGGGATACCTACACTCCTGTGTTTGTTGCATCACTATTCACAATAGCCAAGATATGAAAATCAACTGAGGAATCCATCAGCAGAAGAATGAATAGAGAAAATGTGGCATACATATCCAAGTACATACACATAATAATTATTTAGCCACACACACAAAAAAAAATATTGTCATTCATGGCAAAAATGGAAGGAACTGGAGGACATTATAAAGTAATAAGCCCAGCACAGAAAGGCAAAAATTGTATGTTCTCATTCATATGTATAAGCTTAAAAAATTGATATCAAAGAAGATAGTGAAATAGTGATTACTAGAGAATAGGAAGGGAAAAGGGAAGTTGGACAACAGACACCAAAATACAGTTTCACTACAAGAGTAAGTTAAGAGTAAAGAAATCAATAAAGCTATTTACTCTTTAAATATTTCTGGTAAATTCATATCTCCTTTACAATAATGTGAAAACTAAGATGTATGTGTACATAGTAAGTGTTTAAATGAAATCTTTAAGGAGCACAATTTAATTATCTACCAAGAAAAATGAGGTATTTCTCTAAGTTGCATTGCATTTCATTAAAATTATTTTAGTCATTTGTGTGTGTGTGTGTGTTTGTGTGTGTGTGGTGCTGAGGACTGTAACCAGGGCCTCACAAATGCTAGACAAACACACTACCACTGAGTTGCAACCCCAGATCCTTAAGCTAATTGAAGAGGAACAAAATAATTTTGCTTATTAAACAGAATTTGGAGGTTTCGAAGTGTAGACATCAATTACATCCATATCCATATATATAATAAAAAAAAAGTCACCTACTATTTTTACTTTTAGCTCCTTACAGGAAACAAATGGCAGAACCTGGTATTCCTCAAGACCAGGATTAGATAACCCAAGAAAAATGAGTAAGAAAGTAAAGAGGCAAAAAGTTCCTTTTACTAATTAAAGTGTTTAAATGATCAAGATCACACAAGAAAGAGATGAAAATTAGACCTATACATCAAGGGGAAAATACTGAAATTCTTATTTTATCCCTCTTTTTTTCCTTTGACTTAGATTACATTACCCTTTCTGTATGTAACTTCAGTTTTTAGGATAAAACTTAACTAAAAATTGGGATGAAAGTTTTAAAGATGCATCAAATTCCATATTCAGCTTCCTTGCAGATGGAAGAATTTTCAACATTATCTATTTCAATTAACTTTTTTTTTTTTTATGCAGTGCCAGAATCTCACACGTTAGGTAATACTACTAATTTTCTTTTTCATTTGCACTAGTGGGAATTGAATCTAAGGCCTCATGAGTTGCTGAGCCACATTCCTAAATCAAGACTACATTTTCAATGAGGAAATTCAAGATTCAGAATATAAATTAATGGTCAAATCAACTAGAATCCAGGTCCATAACATCCAATAAGAAATCCTGGGCTGAGACAGTAGCTCAGTAGCAGAGCACTTGCCCAGCACATGTGAGGCACTGGGTTTGACTCTCAGAACCACATAAAGATAATAAATAAAATGAAGTATTGTGTCCATCTACAACTACAATAAAATAAATAAATAAATAAAAATCTTTCATGCATCAATCTAGAACTTTATTTAAAGTATATTATCTAGGGGCTGGGGATGTGGCTCAAGCGGTAGCGCGCTCGCCTGGCATGCGTGCGGCCCGGGTTCGATCCTCAGCACCACATACCAACAAAAAGATGTTGTGTCCGCCGAGAACTAAAAAATAAATATTAAAAATTCTCTCTCTCTCTCTCTCTCTCCTCTCTCACTCTCTCTTTAAAAAAAAACATAAATAAATAAAGTATATTATCTAGTTGGACCCATAACTAAGCAATATGTGGTGACCATAGAGTTTTCAGAGGAAAGCATTACTTAAAAGATAGGAAAAGATGCATTTACATTTAAGGAAATCTACAAAATGTTTAGAGAGACTGCTAAAGAAAGATGTAATTATCAGGTATATACAAATATCATTAGTTTTTCAAGGCAATGAATATGAAATGATAAAATATAAATTTATAATCAATAGTTTATTACAAATCAACAAGATTAGGAAAAACAAGATATGTAGACATTTTACAGGACATTTTGGTATTTCTATTAAACACAAAATGAATTTAGCTTATAATATGGCAAAATGAAGTCTGATGTGTTAAAGAAAACACTAACACCTAAGTGTAAGCAGAAAAAGATGTATACTAAAGAAAACACTAACACCTAAGTGTAAGCAGAAAAAGATGTATACTACATCAGTATTTGGAAACACAAAAATATGGAAACAAAATGTCCACCAATAAAGAAATGGGTAATAAAACAGCACACTCATCTGATATAACACTATACAACCATTAAATGAAACAAACCATGACTGTATATTAGTATAAACAGGTTATGAAAACATTCAAGTAGGAAAAAGCATGGGAGAGACAACTAATAAATTATGATACTTATGTATTTACTACACACTTGTATATTATTAAAGGATTCTTTTATATGTACATATCAAAACTCTTACACCTATAAGAAAGAGAAAACTAAGGGTTGGGGTTGTGGCTCAGTGGTAGAGCGCTCGCCTCGCATGTGTGAAGCACTGGGTTTGATTCTCAGCACTTCATACAAATAAATAAAATAAAGGTCCATCGACAACTAAAAGATTAAAAAAAAACTGTAACTAAGACCTATAATCAAATAATATTTTAACTTTTATCTATAATATCTTGTTCCTTAGAAAACTAAAAATTGAAAAAAGAATCATCCAGGTAGACATATGCCCTGTTTTAAAACTTAAATGCAAGATATCAACAGAGAGATCAATGATATTTTAATGTTCTAACTTTCAAAAGGAGAGCTTTCTTTATTCATGAATTACTTTCCATACCAATGGTACAAACAAAATAAGGAGGCAATCATAGATAACTATTACTATAAGACCATAATTTCAAGCAACATGAAACTTACTATTTTTACTTATTAGCTTTCCAAAAATAAATGATTTTTATTCTTACCTAAAAAGCATAAAAACTGTAGCAGGCATCAAGAAAATTTCATTACAAGCAATGAATTTCAGAATATTTTGTTGATTACCACTTAATTTATCCAAGACAGATCTCAACAAAGGTAAACTATTTGAACCCTTTGCCTAAAACAAAAGAAAATATACATTAGCGATAATGAAGTATTTTTGATAACTCAATTACAGTCACCCTTCAGGAAACATGGAGGATTGGTTTCAGGATACCACTCAGATCCCAAAATCTGCAGATACTCAAGATGTTTATTTAAAATAGTACAGTATTTGCATATAACCTATAAACATCCTCTCTTATACCTTAAGTCTTCTCTAGATTACTTATGATTCCTAATACCATGTAAACTCTATATAAATAGTTGTTAATATTATATCATTTAGGGAAAGAAAGTCTATACCTGTTTACTACAGACACAAACTTATTTTTGCAAATATTTCTTATCTGCAATCAGTTAAATCCACAGATGCAGAACCAAGGGATAACTAAGAGCTGACTAAATTTTCTTTCTTTATAGATAAATAGCACATCCAACAGACAATAGAACCAGAAGTAAGTGATACAAAAATGACTGAAAGTTTACAAACTATTTAAAAATGAAGAATGTATTTTCTTGCTTTATTTTGTGTATCTGAAGTTGAAAACATTAATGAAAATATTTTTCATTCTTAGATGCTTTTGTTTCTTTAAAAAAAGATTATTTTACCAAAAAATGTTATTATTTCTCTCCAATCTTAACAAAATCTGCCTATTCAGTAATACAGTTAAAATATCTGTGATTCCTTAGCTAATAAATGATAGAAATTATGAAGTCCTGGGCTGTGATTGTAGTTCAGTGGTAGAGTGCTTGCCTAGCACACGTGAAGCACTGGGTTTGATCCTCAGCACCAAATATAATAAATAAAATAAAGGTATTGTGTCAATCTACGACTAAAAAAAAAAAGAAAGAAATTATAAAATCCAATGAAGTCTGATTCAAGGCACAAATTTGGATATTTTAATTAAAATTTCAGTGTATATGCAGTAAATCCACCTGGCACACTTATGTTAGGCTTAATGTTCCAATCCAGCAATGAAATAATTTCAGGAAGACAGCAGTTCTTAATATTAGTGTAAAAGAGATTTGGTATAGTCTATCTGGTATGTTGGAATTATACAGTGACTAAATAAGAAACCTCTGACAACTCATCAAATCTTTTTTTTTTCTTGTACTGAGGATTAAACCCAGGGGTGCTTTACCACTGAGCTACATCCCTAGTCCTTTTTTTTAATTTTAAGACAGCGCCTGACTGTTGCTGAGGCTGCCTTTGAACTTGTGAGCCACTGGAATAATGGGCATGTGCCATTGCACCTAGCAACTATCAAACTTAAAAAGGTTTTTAAAAAAAATTTAAAAATGGAAATTCCTCTGAGAACCAGGGAATAATTTTAAGTACAATCCTTTATCTACAAAATGTACTATATTTGTTTTGTTTTTGTGGTGCTGGGGATCGAACTCAGGGCCTTGTGCATGCAAGGCAAGCACTCTACCAACTGAGCTATATCCCCAGCCCCAAAATGTACTATTTGTGACACCTCAAAAAAAACTTCTAAACTCAAAACTACTAAATCACTAAATAATTCATAACAAGTGTGTAAGAAACAGAGGAACTTTCTCGTGACAAATGCCAGAGTGTCTTAGAACTTAAACTCCCAGGAACCAAAGAAACAGCATTATTTTACTTACATCAAGGACCTTTTTCGTGTATGTGGCAGCGTGAAGCAAAGAGAATAACAAGACTGGGAAAATACTCACTGAAGAAAACAATTAAGGAAAACACAAAATTATCAAGTACTTTGCAAAACAAGCCATGTATTAAGTTCAAATATACAAATGTGAAACACCACCTGCAAAATGAGTTCAGTGAAATGGCTATTGGTTTACTAATATATTTTGAATCAAATGAAGTTTTTGTTTTTTATAAAAAAGAAAGTAAACTATTTCACTTTCTAAAACATCATTATTTTTATGAAGAAAATTAATAGTGAAAAGTTTTTTTCATTTATTTTGGTTAATAAAACATTGCAAATATTTGCTAAATTAAATTAAAATCTAGGCTACCTCAAAGTTTTTGAGGTAATAAAACATTGCAAATATTTGCTAAATTAAATTAAAATCTAGGCTACTTAGTTTTTATCTATGCATGCGGTTTTTAACCCCACAATGGCCATCCTGGCCACTTAAGTTAATCTTCAAACACAGAGATAAGTCTTTTACAGTACTTTCACAGATCTCACCCCAGGTATAAACTACCACGGAACTACATCTCCAGCACATTTAACTTTTTACTTACAGACAGGGTCTCATTAAGAGAATGAAGAGAGTTTGAGGCAATGGTTTAAGGAATAATTCCCAAATTTTTCTCAGTTGAAGATGTTTTATTATTTCTTTCCTACAAAGATCCCATTATATTTTAAGATAACATACCTATAAAGCTGATATAATCTAAAAATAAATAAGATAGTATATATCTGGGGTGGTATATAATCTACTGAAAGTCTCATCAGTTTAATTACAGACATAGAGAATCTCTGTATTTAAAATCATTGATTTGGCTTAATGCCCCAGGGTAAATATACAATTTTCATGCAACATTTTGTAAAACAGAAATTTCTCAGAAAATTCCATTTTCCACCCCAAATTTTTGCCAGCCTTATAATAAAAACAAACAAACAACAACAACAAAAAAAAACCCCAAAAATTGTTATTTCTATGAAATGATAGAGACTATTAGTCAATCATGACTGGTAAAAATACTGGCCCTAAAAATATAATCAGTTTCTAAGAAATGAATCATTGTTTTTCTATACTTGCTGAAGGCTTGACATGAATGGGAAGTGGTAATGCTCTAACAATCTAAGACTCAAATTTATTACATTCTCTGTTAGGACCCAAAGGTTCCAATTTCCAATTAGTAAGCACCTTCATCTCAAGTATTAGAAGAACCAAATCTTGTTAATACAGTAGTTCTCCAAATTAATACCCTGACCAACTCTTTCTTGCCACTCACAAGAATTAAAATGTCAATTACCCAAACAGAGATCTCTCTCTCTCTCTCTCTCTCTCTCTCTCTCTCTCTCTCTCTCTCTCTCACACACACACACACACACACACACAGTTTTAAACTTTTTAATGAATCATAAATCCTTTGAAACTGATGAAAGGTATAATCCTCTCTTCTTTAAGGCCCCCTGTGAAACTGTTTTGGCTTAAATAATACAATTTAAACTCTGACATGTATCCAGACTTGAAGATCCATTCAATAAGTAGTAGTATCAGGTAATGAAAACAGAACCCTGAATTGGGATCAAGACACCTGCCTTCCAGTCCTGGCTCTATCATAAACCTCCTTTTCCTTATCCTGTGTCAAATAACAAGAAATCAAAGCCAGAGATTTCTAATGATTCTTTTATTGCTAATGTTCTAGAGTTCATAAATAATTTTTTCCTAGTACTGGGGATTGAACCGAGGTGTACACTACCATGGAGCTACATCCCCAGCACATTTCACTTTTTACTTATAGACAGGGTCTCACTAAATTGCCCAGGCTGACCTCTAACTTTTAATTCTCTGTCTTATCCTCCCAATTAGCTGGGATAATAGACATGTAGCACAAAGCTTGGGAACAAACTGTTAATAACATATTCATAATCTTAGCTCTCAATGTCACTTTTAAATTATTTAGAAAAGATAAGGGGTAAAAAGTTTACAATTTTAACTCTTAAGTACTTGTCATTGATAGAGCAAGGGCAATGTATCACCTTTATAAGAACAAAGATCCGGGCTGGAGTTGTGGCTCAGTGGTAGAGTGCTTGCCCTTCATGTGTGAGGGTTCAGTCCTCAGCACCACATTAAAAAATAAATGAATAAATAAACACAAATAAAGATATTTAAAAAATCAGAATGGCGACCTTTATTACCATAATGCCTTAGGAATCAGATTAGTATTCCTTGACAATTACTAGTTTATGTTATTCTCACTGCTCCCTTTTCCCTCCCATAAAAATTTAAGGAAGAAGAAATCCTTAAACTTCAACATTCCCATGAGAAATGGGTTAGTGAATAACCAACTGCATATAAAAGACAGGTTGTCTTCCCAGTCATGGGTCTCATTTGGCATGACCTCATGACTCACTCAACAAAACTTAACTAAGCACCTGATCTGTGCCAGGCACTGAGCTATACTTCACTTCCATCTCTTTATAAGTAGTGAGGAAATGGAAATTTATTTTGCCAGTATTTAGGTGTTGGAGGCTATATAGGCCACGTATGATTATGGGTTTGTATGAGCCATCACAAGGCAGGGAGGTTACTTTTCTGAGAACTTCAAGAATGCCCAGATTATGCTGACATCCTGCCTTAGCTCAAAGACCTAGGTACAAATGCAGACGAAGGTGGGTACAACCTGCTAAGCTTCAACCAAGTTGTTTCTGCCACCTTCTTCCTGTTTCCTCAAGAAGTTCTTTACACTGAATCCCACTGGTGTTCCTACTCATTTAAATAAAGCCTGGGGACTCCATTTAGGAGTCAGAGCTGGTCTCCATCGGATCCTGCTTTTCACTTATTTTTGTGTATTATTTCTTAAATTTCTCATACCTTTAATATTTCTAATCTGACTCATCCCCCTAGCTTGGGGAAACTGAGTAAACATCACAAAGGTCATGACCTATAGGTAGAGTGTGTGCCTGGCATATACAAGGTCCTGGGTTCAATCCCAGAATGACAAAAACAAAAACTATTTAAAAATGATAATTCACAATATAGGTATCATCTAAGTGGACATTTAGTCTTAGAGAAATATTTTATTATGTTTTCCACTATATATGGTTGTATCAGAAATATTCAAAAGCTCTTAAGCTGGGTTAGTGGTGCACACCTGTAATCCCAGCAGCTTAGGAGGCTGAGGCAGGAGGATTACAAATTCAAAGTCAGCTTCAGCAACTCAGCCAGACCCTAAGCAATTTAGTGAGACCCTATCTCAAAATATAAAAAAGGGTTGGGAATGTGGCTCAGTGGCTACACACACCTGGGTTCAATCCCTGGCACCAAAAGACAAAACAAAACAAAGAAACAAAAAACCCCAAACTCTTACATCAGCACTTCTTAAAACACTAAGTAACTTCCTAATGGGTGAACTATACAAAAAAATTAAGAAACATTAATCTCACAATGCACAAAGGTCCTATAACAAAGAAGCCTATTTCAAAATCTTTAACTTGGTGCTTCCCAAACACAATGAATTGTAGAACTTCTCTCCTTTTTGGAATAATGCCCATTATCATCTGGCAATACTTTTGAAATTGTGAAAGCATACATATTCCAAATTAGTTATTAATTCTCAATGCTACATGGATTATCCATATATATCTATATGTTGTTTCCATACATGTTATCCATGTTTCTACATTACATACAGTAAATATTATTTTAAATTTACTAATCATTTCTTGATAAATTTTCATTTGTTCCTAGGTCACTGAAAGTTAAAAAAGGAAATAGGTGGGCTGGGGTTGTGGCTCAGTGGTAGAGCACTCGCCTCACATGTGCAAGGCCCTGGGTTCGATCCTCAGCACCACATAAAATAAATAAATAAAGTTATTGTGTCCAACTACAACTACAAAAAAAAAAAAAAAGGAAATAGGTGATGATCTACCTTTTTAAAAGGAAGACATCTAGATACCTTCTCAAAGAAGCTATAAATTAAATGAAAGGAAAATATTTGGGGGGAGGTACGAGGGCTTGATCTCAGGGCTTCTTTACACCTGAGCTACATCTCCAGCCCTATTTATTTATATATTAATTTACTCAGAGACAGTGTCTCACTAAGTTACTCAGGGCCTCGCTAAGTTTGTAAGACTGACCTCAAATTTGGGATCTTGCATTATTGGGATTAAAGGACTGTACCACCACATATGCCCAGTTAAATGAAAGAAAATTTTAAGTATTCACAAATCCTATATAAGCTTATGCTTTGAATCTGAACTTTAAAATACCCATTGCTAATCAAGAAATTTATGAAAGAACATTTATAGACAAAGTTTAAAAATCCCAAATCAGCTCTTCAAAGTTTACATTTCAAGCTTTAGCGTCTGAAATTTTTAAAATAAGCATACCTTTTTCATATAAATGAAGTGCCAAAAAGCAAAAACTTCAACTTTACTGAATGCCCTTGTTATTAATCTTTCCTATAGCAAAAAATAATCAACAGATCCCCTACATATTTAGTTGGTCATTTCACTGTCAAAAAAGTAGAAAAGGATACTTGTAACAGGGTAGGAATTGACAAAGATGAGTGAATACAACAGGTAGTGGCAGCTGTCCTCTAACAAAGCTTGAGCCAGAAATGCTCTGCTTAATTGAAAGTGCGGCAATCTTTGATGTAGCCTCAGAGCACTGGTAAGAGCATTTGCCAGCAAAGCACGTTGGTAAAAGCTTGCTGCTTCATGCAACCTGTAAATTACCAGAGGAGAAGTTATCATGAGACATAAACAACTACCATGTCTCTTCCTCCCTTGTGGATTGCATCATAATTGCACAACACCTAACTCATTTAACTATCAATAGAAAAAATTCCTTGAACTTGTTCTATCTTCTTAGAAGCATCATTTCATTCATATATATATATATATATATATATATATATATGCCCAACTAAATTTTATATATATATATATATATATGCCCAACTAAATTTTATAAAGCAGTGATTCTTTGCATCAAGATAAAAAGGTCAAAAATGCAAAAATCATGAACTTGTCTTAACCCTGCACCTACATTTTCGCTCAGATTTTCACCATGCTTAGTTTCACAAATCATAAATCCTTCCAACTGATTATATTACTAAGGACTTGTGTTTTTATCTGTCCCTGAACCTTTTACAATTTAATAATTCTTACACCTAAAAAAGTATTTTATAAAAAACAGAACAATATCAAAGCCAGAATTATGTATAGTACATACCCAAGAAGAGGCAGAACAAACAAAGCAGAGCAGTACACTGTGAACAAGCGAGAAAGCCACATTGCCGTGTCCAGTTTATTGGTCATCATGAATTGCTGTATTTAAAAAGAAAAATATGGTAGTAAATTAAGCCTGCAAATTATGTTAAGAATATATAGTTTATTCATATTCAAAATATTTCAACAACCTTATAATATTTGTTTTTAAATCATTAAGTGAAAACTCTCAAGGCAATTAACTGTTTCACATAAATGCTCAATGACAAGTTAAAAAATTCTATAGTGTTGATTTGGAAAGCACAGGAACCTGGACAGAAATTAAACTACAATTGTCTGTGTTCTTTCAACAGTTGTAATATTGGCTTCATCTATTTAAAAAGAACATTAAATAAGAACTAATTGCTCTCAAGAGAACCAAATGCCTATTCTTAGCAAAATCTCAAACCCAAATAGGTAGGTCTCAGAACTGAATAAAAAGGCAACAACAAATAAACTTTTGAAAGGACAAAGTAAAAACCACAGTCATCAGTCAGTTACAGTTGAACTCATTACTCAGTGGATGATCTGCCTAACATAGTGGAAGTGCTCAACATACAACTATCAGCTATTAAATATCACCTGCTTCTCTGATTATGGCTTTCTGCATCCCCTTAAGGCTCCCCTAAAAGTTTTAAGATGGGATTTGTGCTTTATTTGTCCCTATAAGTTTCAGTGACACTATATTAAACTTCCACATGCATATTTCTTCATTTTTTTCTTATTCTTTTCCTTTGCTGCTTTTCTTTCTCCAGAGTGTTCATTAGCACTAAAAAACGTAAAAATATGCTTTATCATTAAGATGTATTTTATATTCATATTCTAAAGAGAATTTTACATTTTTCAACTACAGTACCACAAATACTGAGATCTAATACAAACATACATGGGTATATGAAGTATAACAAAGTTTCACAAATAATACTTATTCTTACTGTATTAAAAAAAAAAAAAAAAAAAGGCTTCCACAGAGCTAATTTTGAAACTCACTAATGGGTCTATTTGAAGTTTCAGAACAATGCTTTTAAGCAATTTAACTTCATTATCTTTGGGGGGAAAAGTGTAAAAAAAAAACAAAAAACAAAAAAAAACTTTTTAAGTAAAAATGCACGAACATTTAAAAATTCAAATACATTTTATTGCATTCCTTCTTAAATCATATGTAGGTAATGTCAGAAATATGAAATACGCCTCTTGTTGATTGTATCCTACCTACCACACTATTTCTCCCCTAAATTTAAATGATCAGGAATGGTCAAACAGAAGGATAAATCTAGCTTTCTGTGCTCAGTTCCTCTACAAATGTCCAAGCTCTACATCACAATCTGAAATTTAATTTGGGGATATTTTCTTTTTTTTTTTTTTTTTAATTTTTTTTATATATTTATTTTATTTTTTTTAGTATTTGGTGGACACAACATCTTTGTTTGTATGTGGTGCTGAGGATCGAACCCGGGCCGCACGCATGCCAGGCAAGCGCGCTACGTACCGCTTGAGCCACATCCTCAGCCCTGGGGATATTTTCTTTAAAATCCATTTGTGTGGGGTGTTCATTTTACCATAAATTGCTGAGCTATGCATTTCATTTTATCACACAATAAAAGAAAAGTCAAAAGGGCATATTTTGGTTCAGATTTTTGAGAGTGACTAGCATTGGTAGCACACATCTATAGTCTTTGCTGCTTGGGAGACTGAGGCAGGAAGGATCACTTAGGCCCATCAAGAGTTCAAGACCAGCCTAGGCAACAAGTGAGACCACATTTCAAAACAAAACAAAAAAGAGTGACCTGGCCAACCATCAACTAGCAGTAAATAGTACAGACAAAAAATATTAATGAATCTTCAGGTAAAAAAACGACTTGAGGAACAAGATACAGAGCCTCAAAAACAACTTCTTAATTACAAAGGGGAAAAAGGCATCTTTATAATGTAGAATCCAGTGGACACTATCTTAATTAAAGAATCAAACTTAAAATCCCCAACAATGGGATAAATGAACATGAAATGCTTCCTCATATGGGGTTGGGGTTGTGGCTCCGTGGTAGAGCACTTGCCTAGCATGTGTGAGGCACTAGGTTGGATTCTTAGCACCACATATAAGCAAATAAGTAAATAAAGGTCCATCATTAATTAATAAAAGAAATGCTTCTTTTTTATAATGTACAGAGAAGAACAAAATAATCATTCATGTGATTCCAGTTTGAGAAGCATTCTACAGAATAGGTCTGGGCTCTAGAAAATTAACAATCTTAGGGCTGTGGATGTAGTTCAGTTGGTAGAGCATTGCCTAGCATGCACAAAGCACAAGGCCCCTAGGTTCAATCTCCCTGGCCACCAAAAAAAAAAAAAAAAAAAATTAACCAATCTTGAAAGACAAAAAAGGGAGGGAAGCAGATATATGACCAGTAAACATAATGCATGCTTTCTGGCAGAACCCCTGAGGAAAAGGAAGGAGCTTTAAAAGACAATTAAGGAAACTTGAACATGAATTGCATATCAGTTTATACCACCTTTCAATGTTAAATTTCCCACACGTGATTAACTTAACGTGGTCATGTGAAAGAATAACAAATATTTGCGGGTTAACAAAGACTTTTAAATGAGCCAGCAAAATTTTAAAGTGTTTATGTAGAAATACTTGCAAAATGTTTTCAAAAAGTAATTCGCCCGATTCACACACTTAGGGTGGAAAAATCAGAGGATAATAAGGCTTCGGATGCAAGTAACTAGGAAGTTGCTGACTGGCATCTTAAAAAAAAAATTACAAAAGCTTGGTACTTTGCTTTGTAAAGAAGTAAGAACAATGTGAAGAAGGAAAACAACAGATGGTTCTGTGCGTCATTTCTACACAATGGCATAAAGTTGACACATGGTTTCCAGTCCCCACGCAAGTGCGCCATGAGGCTAGTGTCACGGCATACCCTTACACGGCATCTTCAACCTTGGGGCCTAGGATAATTAGAGACTGAGGTGTGCGGAAAGGCAAGAAGGACCAATTTCCAGGATACGCTGGTGACAGCCACCTGCTCCAAGACAGTCAGTTGTGGTTTCAGAAGCAAACTTGTAGCTCCCTCTGTAGCTTCCCTTCGGTTCTCCCCTCTCCGCACCCGCACCCGCACCCGCACCCACTCATGCTAGTCCAGAAATCTCAGCGCTTCTGGAACGCTCCGGGTCCTCGCAGTACTTCCTGCTCCTTCCTACCTCTAGCAAATCAACCAACGCGACCCCGCCGGCTCACTTACCACAGCGCCCGCCCCTTGGGGGCCGTTTGGGGTCGTTTCAGCCATGAGAGACACACAGGCACCCGGGACGCTGCAATCGTGGAGAGAAGAAACAAGAAACAAAACATCAATGTCGGGACCACGACCCAGGTAACCTGCTTCCCTCCAGAGGCCCGCCGCGCCCTGCTCCGCTCCGAGCTTTCCAGCCTCCCGAGAAAAAGAGCCTTGCCCGCCCCGTTGCAGTAGACGGTCCCAGAAGCACCCACAGCCACGGGGAAATACCTGTCCCGCACCGCCGAGATCAAAGCGGGTTTTCCAGAAAGACCGAAACGAAGGCGGAGCTTCGGAGCAAGGCCCTAAAGGGCCGAACCAACGCTGCCGGCGCCCGGTTATCTCCGGACCCGGAAGTACCCTTTTCATTTCCGCAAGGTCGAGGCGTGAAGACGAAAGCACCCCGGAGGTGGCCCGGAGCATGACGGGAAGTGTAGTTTTTTCTCTTCGTTTCGACTCCACCTGTCTTTTACTTAAGTAGGGCGAAACAGAGGTATCAAATTTTGCCTCATTCTCCCTGCTCTGATCATGTCCAAACCACAGTATCTCTCTCCTCCTTAATATAGAGATGTTAGATACATCTTTGATCTCTCCCTCAAGGAGCTCACTCTATGGTTCAACCTGCTGTATGACAGGTTCCATGCTTGGCTCGAATGATAAACAGATGATTATGCCACGGTCTGCAGGAGACCCAGACAAATAAGTCGAAATCACAGCATAAAATTGTATAATATGGGCAGAAACTGAGTTAATCTCAAAGAGCACAGAGAAGGAAGGGTGCCTAAATCAGAAGGGGACTGGGAGGTTTCCTGCAAATGGTAATTCTGATCCTAAATCTTGAAGGGGGCCAGAGAGAAGAAGAAGAAGTTGGGTCAAAGGGGATTACAAACAGAGGAACAAAAAGTGCATGAAATAACAGGAGAGGCAGAGGACAAGTTCAGACTGAGCAGAATGAAGGGGATTGTGAAACATTTGGCCTAGAGAGGCAAACAGGGATGTGCTCATGAGAGGACCTAAACTTGATCCTGAAAACCAGAGACCCATGGTATTATTTTAAGCAGATGTGTGACAGCATAAGATTCAGAAAGATCATTGCTGGGGTAAACAAGTCAGTGCTTAGAAGTCTTGTTATTTTTGAAGGTGAACTAAAAAGGACTCCAAAGAATGTGCTAGGGAACATAAGGAAGAAGGAAACTATCTACTTCCCTTATCTCCAGTATTTGTGTAGGTGTCAAAGCAGAACAAACTCAGTTGTGAAGTAAAGTCATGTGCTCATCAAACATTTGAAGAAACCTTTATGTGTAGTTGATGTGCAATCTGTCCTGTGTCTTGTTCCCCTTTGCCTGTAGGCATGGTGTACCCCCAGTTTATTCCAGACTGTGGCACCAAGGGTTACCTGAATAGTAAAATGACCAAACATTCTCTGCCGAGTCCTCCAAGTTCTTTTTGGGGGATTGGAATATATTATACTGGGGCCTTTACAGCCCTGGGGTTAAGCCATCACTCTGGCAGTAGTGTGAAGGACAATAAGGGGAAGCTAGGAGATTAGTTAGGAGGCCCATTACATACATCTAGGGGAGAAGAGATGGGATTCTAGATTGAGGCACTGTTGTGGGGAAAGAGAAGAGGAAAGATGACTTGGAGGCTGCTTCCAAGACTTGGTGACTGACTGGGTATAGGTGTGCGGGAGAGGGAAGGTCATCTGCTGAGATCTAGAGAAGAAGTGTAGGGAAGAATGCAGTAGATGAGCAGTGGATTGAGAATCAAGCATTAAAGGAGTGGAGAGAAGGAACTGACCAGAGACTATAGAACAGTTGATATACTCCTGCCCCTGGACCTGTCAGGGGTCCCTGCTCCCTCAGATGTATACATATCCTCAGGACCCATGGGGCAATCCTGATGCTACTCAGTTGCAACCCAGAAATCAAATGGTGTCTCTCATAATAGAGTAAACTTCTCTTTTTCTAAGGCCATTGCCCAAGTTCAGCCCTTAGGATCTGCAGCCTGGATTACCTGTCCTCCCGCTGAGCTAAAATGTTACTTCCTCTGTACTCCCCAGATATCATTTATTACATGTTTTATAGTACTTGTTACTTCCTAGTACTTCTTATAATTGTCTACCTGCCAGTGTGACTGTTACTGATTTTTTAAATCCTATTATTAAAATATTAACATATTAAATGTTCCTTATTATAAATTCCATATAGCAAGTAGATTGTCATAGAATCCTTCTTAAAAATTTTGCTGAACTTTTGCATAGATAGCAATAAAAGGTTATAATGAATGAGTATAATTCCGTGAATGTTGCTTGATATTTTTAACGAATAAGATGAAAGTGAAACAACTAACACATTTATTAAAACTTTATTCCTTTGATAATAATGTGATTAACATATTTGCTAGATTGAACTCTAGCTTTTTAATATCAGAGGAACATTTACTCATTTTTGTGCTATTCACAATGTAACAGCTACCGACATAATACACTTATAAATTTAATCCATACTGTTAACATTTTCTGCATCACTTTTTATTTATTTAAAGTGTAGACGACCAACAAAACAACTAATCAAGCTCTGATTTGTAGTGTTGGCTGATATTTTCATGGTATAAATACTACCAAGATCTTCTTCAAAGTACCAACATAATGTCTCTGTATATTGGAAGTAGGAAGGTATGGGCATAACACACCAATACAAATTTCCATCATACAGTTATCATGGGCACAAGTAATCTCAAGAGCATGGATAATAAGATGTAGTAATGTAACAGTGGTCCACTTCACCTTTTAAATATAGCTCTTGCTGCTTATTTTTAAAGGGACATGTTTTTCTTTTCCACTTCTCCCTGACCCCTTCCCTAACTTAGAACAGGGAACAAGATTACCTTGTGTTATCTGTGCTCCACAGGAAGGAGATGTCTGCCAAAGAATCTAGGAAGTAAGTATGTCCCAAATTAACAAGTGAATCCTAACACACCATCAAGGTACCCTGGGTCCCCCTACCAGAGCACACCTGGTAGAGTTTCTTTAAAAGCCCCCTGTTCCTTCTGATGGGCAGAATCACAGCCTCAGGGACAGGAGTCCCCTGTATTTCTCCTTTGCTAGTAAAGAAATAAAACTTCTTTTTCCTTTTTCTCTAAACCATGTCCTCATTATTAAATTGACATGAACTGGCATTGGGGACAAGGACTGAGATTTTGATTACAAATTTGGCAACCCAGGTGGGACCAGAGAACAGTCCTTGCTCTGGCTTTCTTGGGCAGACATGGCACTCCAAGCAACTGCACTTCTATGCTGAGGATGAAGGGTGAACTTTTTGAGAGTTCACTGCTGGAAAGTCAGGAGATGGGTGAGTGTGCTTCAGGTGGAACTAGAGGAGCTATATCCCTGGGAGTAAAGGGAGGGACTTAGAAACTCCCAGCAGCTGCTCCTTTTAGCTTTGGGGGAACTTCCACTTTCCTTCCCTGAACTTTACAGATTGCTCCATCTTGGTCTGCTTTGAGAAAAAGGAAACTGAGCCTAGTGAAGTTGCAACACATTGGCCATCTGATAAGCTCCCCTGGTGTGCACAAGGAGACCCTTGATTCCACATGTCTGGTTCTCCTTTAAGGGAACATCTGGTTCCTCTTCATAGGAACATCTATCTGTAGCATTGCTGGTGTAGAAGTCATGGTTCAGTAGGATTGGGAACTTGGGGGGATTTCCCCCTATCTGTTCTGTGTTAGACCAGGACGCAAGAAAAGACCACTGACTCCAATTAAAATCAAATTAAAGCAAGCTTATTATTTCGACCGGCCGGGCTGCCTTGCCCCTCAAATCGTGGGAGCCAAGGACAGCCCCGAGGCTTCTTTGTGGCCCAGTTTTATAGCCCAAAAAGTTACACAAAGGGGGGGGTTACAGATAACAAACAACATTCTGAAGAGCATAACACAAGTTTACATTTTGCTGGCCCCGGCATCAGAATTTATGGAGATCTTAGAGACTCAGAGAGGGTCGTTGTCTGGCCAGGGAGGGCCAGAATTTATGAGGCGTCACTAAGGTTTAGGAAAGGGTTGTTATMTGGTCAGGGAAAACCGGACCTGGGTGAGTTCAGGGCACGGGCAGGCATTCCAATCAGCTTTACAACATCAACTAATGGCCAGGCCATACAGACATCCTGATATTTTTACAGAAATCTAATGAGATAACTAGGCTAGGTATATCATTCTGTTTTAAAGGTTCCTGGCAGCCATGGTTTGAGAATCTGTCTCTGTTTGTCTGTCTCTGTTTTTTGATTGTATCTGTTTCTGACCCTTGAAGTCTTGGGCAATACTGGGTTGATCCTATAGACTGTTTCTTGGGAAAGATCTTGGCCAAATAGGCCACCTATAGATATAAACCTGTCTAAAAAAAAGATGATGTTTTACTTGTAACAATCTGGACTTTGGAATGGTTTTCTGAATTATTGTACAATTTTGTGGTTGTGAGTTGGCCTGTCAGAGACAGAATAAGTGAAAGATTCTGTGAGTACATAATAAGGAGTCTAAACAGTCAAAAACTAAGTTGAATACAAAGAGGTGCTGCCTCTAATGTTCGAGTATAGCAGGACACCAAAAGAGGATTTAATTTTTTTTAAATCTCTTTAACCCAATGCTGACAGTCTGAGCATCTATAAGAACATCAGCCACAGGAATGCTTAGCAATGTCTGGTTGCAATTGATAAGGACCATCATCTAAAGACAGAGCAATGCTTGAGGGTGATGCCAATGAGCATGAACTTGGAACTATATTTAAACGGCTTGTCCTGCCACATTGGAGATCTTCACTCTGAAGACGTCAGTGAGACTGACTGCCTTGCTGTCCATCCCTGAACCCACTCCACCTTTCTCTGACATCCCCCATTGGCTAAGAGAAGTCACATGGCTTCAGAGGTACCCCCCCCCCCTCGCAGTTTGGCCCTGGGCAGCTGTGAGTCAGGGACTCCAGTCCTGGAATGAAGAAAAAGAAAAAAGAAAAACTCAGGAAAGAAAGCGACCTGGGTCTATAGAGAAAAGGGCAAAGAGGGCTGGGCCTCTACTCTGCTTTCCAGCCACTCTTTGCCCATGGCAATAAAATTGGAGTTTGAGAACAAGTTTTCAGTTCATTGCTTCTGCAGACAAATAAAATCTATGTAGGCTGTAGGCCTCACTGATTTTCTTTCTGGGTTCCTGTCTCATGGGTTCAAAAAATGAAATCCATGGATGGTGGCAGAGGACAAAAATAAAAGAAATAAAATTAGTTTTGAATGAGAAAAAAAAAAAAAAGATGGAACTCCCCATAATGTGAGGGGGAAAACTGGCAGAAAGCTTTTTGAGAGTATACTAGTCTGGGGACTTAGGCTTCTGGGTAAAGACAGGGTCAGAGTCCAGGCTGCACAGACATTAAAAGCATTGGGCTAATTGTTA